ATGTTACGTAGCTGTTACACTGTAGAAGTGTGCATCAGATTGCCTATGTTTACTGCTGTCTTGCTCTCCATTTACCCTCTCATTTCCCCCAGTTGTTCCATCCATTAAATGATGCAAAGCCACATTTTTCAGTCTGCTTACGCTCCCTGGTTGCTAAAAAAAAAAAAAAAACATTCCCTGAAAAAGCTGCCAACCACACTAAGTCCCATATGTTGCATCACCTGCAGTGACCCTCCATATTTTTCAAGCTGTGCTCAGAGATTGGCTTGCTGGATTGATCTAACTTGTGAGGTCAAATCAGGGCCAAGTAGCTTTAAGGGAAGAGACTGGATTTCAGGCCAAAGAAATGTGCGGGCTGTTGGTCACAATCACAATAAATATGAGTGATTAATGCGTTGCAATGATTTACTTTTGTTTTTTACTTAAATATTCTCAGTCACTTATTTGTACTCAATTTATGCTGGTCTTAGTTTATAGTAGTTGCAACAGAAACATTTGAACTTTTACAGTCAAAAACATAACAAATAATCAATTGTACAAAAACATTATAATTTAGTACAGTTAAATTATACATACATAAAAAAAAATAGTAGGACTCAGAGAAGTAGGTCCCTTTTATTTGGGGTTTTCAGTGAAAAATATCGTAAATGTTCCTTGCACTGTACTTGGAAAGGAGTACCCCTGCATAATTGTAGTCTAGCCATTTTCTGTGATTATAAACAAAATACTCCACTCTGATTGCTGGCAGAGCTCAGAGCTCATTGAAACAGTGAATGTGCTGTGCACCAGAGCTGCATTATTTGATATTTAAGATAATGACAGCATTTAGAAAGTCATCATTCCCCATAGCCAGCTGCTTTCCACCCACTGATGTCCATGAAAATATAGTAAGTAGGATGCTCTAGGTAAAACATTAACATTTAATCTTAATATTCAAAGACATTTTTTTGTTAATTCTCAATCAGGCATTAGTTGTGTATGCTAAGAGCTCTCCTAAAGCTGGGTTTAAAGGTGGGTATTTTTCAGTGATAAACACCCTATCTACCAACAAATACTCCCTATATATAACAAAGTCAAAACACCAACTCTTGTTTTGGTTTCTCAGCCCAAAAATGCTTGCAGTCTTATTATTTTATATTTGCTTTTGCACAGGTAATATTTGCCCTGGAGTCAATTTTAGCTTTTAGCTTTTCTTGAAAGCTGCAACAATTGTGGGTTTAGTTCTAAAACATCTGCAGATGCTACATTTAATTATATTTTCAAAACATTTTTCTTTGTGACAGTACATCTTCCTGAAACACCACAGGTCACTGAACATGGTTGTAGGGATATTTATTTTGGTCATCCTGTGACTTCATATGCCAAAACTGCAGAAGTCCCTGCACCTCGCTTGTTTTCATCTAGAAATAAATCTTTCAAAAGCCTTTACAAAGCCTGAAATTGCTGTTTTAGCTTTATGCGCCTATAATAACAAAATAGCCAAAATTTATTAATCTGTCACGGGTTTTGTTAGATATATGATGGACTTAGTTCAGACTGCTTCCAGTCTAACCTAAATCTAATCTTTTGAATTGCATCCACCTATCCATTTTTCTAAACCATTTATCCAAATAGAGCTGTAGAGATAGAGGGCACGTTCTAGAGAAGCTGATAGTCCATCGTGCCACTATGTTTTCGTCCTGATTTTATTATGCATTATTGTTACATTTTTTCATTCAAATATTTTTAATTGATGTCAGACTACAAGAATTTCCACTTGCATGAATTTCATCTTAATGCATGCTTGTGTCTACACATTTTTGTAGTCTAATTGAATTTATTAACATAATAAATTGAATAACTGCACAGCTTTAGTAGGTCTTCAGTGGGCATTAATATGCTGTATCTGCATGTGCTGTGTGGATTTATGAGCACTCACTGACCTGCACAAGATTCCATGACCCAATTTAGGATTTGCAAAAATCTGGTCATCCTACTTACATGATATTGAGTGTCAAAGGTGATGGATTTCTTCCCCCAATTTCAGTCTAATCCTACTCCATCCAAAGTAATATTTGCACTTTGTGTCAAGTTCTTCAGTGGATGGGAAACGTTCAAACCCATTTTTCGTGTGATTATGGATTTTTTTTCCCCCATTTGGATATTGCATCAGTGTGTTGATAGCTGTTCATTTTACATTTAACTTGGATGACCTGACACAAGAATGATTTGTACTATTTGAGTTCTATCTCAGTATAATCTGACCTTCACAATCTGCTACTGCCTCGAGCTTTCTTCTGTTGGGTTTTGTTCACTTTAGACATTCTAGACATGAAGCACTTTGGCTTTGAAGCAACAGAGACTTTTTGGCTGCTGCTCGATCCATCAAAGTTTAAATCTGGTAGGTGTCCATTATATGAAAAGTTTATTGAACTGTGTGCAAGATAAGACAGTATAAATGAGAAATATATCAGTCCAAAACTGTTAAATACAAATGAATTAAAAACAAACAAAGGAAAACATTTCCTCCCAATTATAAAGGAAAGGTTTGTCAATTAAAATATTTTTATTATTCTTACACTACACTTTTAAAAGATTACTAGTGATATATTTTGCAAATATAGCTTGCTCTGCATAATTAATCAAGCAATTGATAGTATATGATGGGCAAACAAAACAATAATAACCTAAGAAGTGTAGCTAAGTGAACCCTACGATCAGACCATTGAAATTTGCTGATGATACAGTGCTCATAATTATCACTTCATCTGCCAAAACAAGGAGGAGAAGTGGATTATCTGATGGTGCAGCTCTAACAACCTGCAGTTAAACATGCTTGGAGACACTGGGCTGCAATCCGTACTGACCACTCAAGCACACAAATTATTGAATAAATAATTAAAAAACAAAACAAAAACCCTACCAGCAGAAACTCAAAGCATTTTAAAATTATATTGAGTTTATTCTTGGCTCTTTGATCAATTTGCTATTTAGTTCTTCAACCATGCTTCAAAAAATTTGAAAAGGAGAATTCTCTCCAGCCTTTGTGCACCTTCAGGGTCAGGGAACATACAGGTAAAGTCATCCTGACCCCGAACATCTCTAGACAACCTTTTTGAGCCATCTCCCTAGCTGAAAAGAACAAATGATTTTGTTGATTTTCTTTCATGATTGGCCACGTGATTGGATTGTTAAAGTGGAGGTCCTCTATAATGCAATGTGGCATAACATTTGAAAAAAATCTTACAAAATTTAGAGTATTTATAGACAAATTCACAAATATAACAATACATCTCTAAAGCTTGTGTATGTTGTTTTTTTTTTTTATCCCATTTTCTTTCATTTTCCCTTTTTTGCATAAGAGCTTTGGATTTCTTCCATGAAAATTGACTGTTGATTATTCTGATTTTAGCACAAGACAATGTATTATTTAGAATTTTCCACATAGTGCTTTCTTCTTCCATTTCTTCATCTCAGAAAAAATGTCTTATTCTTCCTTCTCCATCCACTTTATCCAACAACAGCAATGAAGAGTATCACAGAAAAATACAATAGCAAGATTCCATTTTAATCCTCTTCTTAACACATCTCTCATCCTTTGTCTTGTGCTCTCTCAATCTCTATTAAATTTCACCGTCCCAGAGCAGATCCGGTTCATCGTCATGGTAGCCATTAAAGTGTTATGATTTTCAATAACATTTTATAGACTTTGGGCATAAGAGGCCTATTTACAAAATGAAATGATGAGACATCAGTGAGGAGTAAGAAACGCATGGTCATCATGTTAACTCAGAGAGGTTGAAACTCAGTGGAATGATCAATCAATTTATATAGTGCAACTAGGATTTCTGCTTCGGGTCTCTGGGAAAGAGCTAGGTTATGTCATATTATCATATCAAATACCTGCATGGAGAAAAACCATTGAGATATTTAAAGTAGTTGCCCTCCTAAAAGTTTGTTTTAAAAAACGTTGCAAAAGTTGTGGTGTTTTTTAGGTAGAGAAGTATCCTGCTGAACGCGTACAGCATCATTGTCAGCAAAAATTACCAATCATACTTCATAATTTGTCACCTAATGCTCTTTGAGTTTCAGTAGGTTAAATAAATTTAATGGCTTAAATATTTAATCATCTCACAGTGTTAGTCAACCCCATCAAAATTACTTTGATCGTGAAAATGTTTAACTATTGTTAGGAAGAAAAAGTAATCTAACATCATTTGTGCAAATCTAGTTGACATGTAGTAACATTGGGGTAACGGGAAAAAAAACCCCAATGTGCTCAGAAAGGCGTAGCTAGCAAGGCAACAACAGAAACGGTTTTATTAGCAGTGGTATTGAAGAACAAGATCTAAACTAACTGAAATGACATTTACAGAGTTCAGTGTGCTGCAGCTGACTATCTAATCAGCCTTCAAATGAGCAATGTTAGTACTGAACGTCCCTGGATCTCGAAAGAAACAAAAAAGTAATTTAATTTCAGATGAACTTTCAAGGCTTTACACCTACAGCTATTCTAAGTACATCTGCTTTTTATACTTGGTGGTGAGGTAAATTATGCAGAGAGCATGCAAAAGACTTGAATTTAGTGTTACACAAGCCTTTAGTGAGGCTTGGCTTGGTGATGTGCAGACGTCTTTTAAATGAGGACACAAGTAGGTCACTTCCTCAACATTATCATTTTTGCTTAGGGGGAATGTTGCACCTCCCATCAGTAGTTTTCTTCATCTGGCTCTAATGAGCTAATTACTGACTTGGTCCAGTGCAGCAATGGTTGTCTCACTGTTACCTCACCTGCAAGATTTTCTTTTTTCCAGGATGTTTTCAAGATGTTTAAAATAGAAAGTATGCTGACAAGGATTAAGTGTGAATTGTTTGACAACATGAAGTAAAAGAGAACACAATTCTTGTGCAACATGTTTGTCATTATTTGTTACCAAGGTCATGCAGCATTTGTGCATATAACATTTTAGTTCTTGTTCTTGTGTTGACAAAAATGTTATTTTAAGAGATTAAAATCTCACCTTAGACCATATAATACGGTACCATCTGGGTGCAGTCGGATCATTCTGTTTTTTACTGTGACACCATGGACAAACGATTTCTTGTCGTTGAGGAAATAGGTGTCAGGCACCCAGAGCTGGTCAGCGACCCGGTTATCTAAGGTCAGGTTGAGGGGGATGTCAGAGTAGGACAGCCGCTTGTCTCGCCATGCCTGCTGGAAGTACATTGTCAATGTGTAGTCCTGCAAGTGCACAAAGACGGGCAAAGGAGGACAGAGAAAAGAAAAGAGCAAGAAAATAGAGGGTAAAGATAAAATGGTAGGAAAGGAGTTGGGGAAGCATGGAGGAAAGATGAATAAAACAGAGAGGTGGAGAAAAACAACAGAAGAGGTGGTTACTTCCCCCCCAAAAACAAGCATTTTACACAGCTGGTCTGTAAGACTTTACTTATGCAAACTCCTAGATTAGACCAGACTAGACAGGCTTCAATATTGGATGAAGTTCACTTTAAAGCAAATGAAATAGTAGCACTACAGGCCAAAAAACCCTCAGTACAAAGCAACTGGGAATTCCTTCTGTTCATAGAAACATGAGGTTAAGACAGATAGTGTGAAAGAGTGTGTATGTGTCAGAGAGAGGAAGAGAGCGAGGGAGAAAGATGGCTCGTGTTTGGTGTGTAAGTGTGTTTATGTTTTTGTCAGTATGGCTGTGGAGTATAGCACATGTCAGTGGCATGTCCAGTTGGTTTAATGCGAGTGTTTGTGTATTTTTGACTCATGTGACTCATACATAGAAGAGAGAGAGAAAGACAAAGCAAGAGAGACCGCATATTTGAGAAAAATCTAAATAACCTCCAAGCAACCTCAAAAAATAAGTTTTACCGAGTATTTCCTACATGCTCTATTTCCTTTGACAGTGGCTGTCTTTCTGGGATTAAGAACTGTTTGGGTTTGCTGTGTTGTGCTTGCATAACATATTCACCCATCTACTGTTTGCTCAGCCCAAAAGTGGAACGCTAGATATCGCAGTCAAGTCAAATGAAGAAATGTATAGAAAGCGCACTCTCTCACAGAATGTATTCGAGTTGCAGAAATCACTAACAGGAAAGGATTTTGGCTTTTGCTTAATGTTCTCCTAAGACGTGGAAATCTAGAAACAACAGTATCTGTTAGTAATGAGACAGAGAGCTCACCTGCCTACCACACAACTAAGGGCTCAGTTTATCAAAGGAAAGCTGAGCTCTTCTTTAGTTCAAAATTTGTTAAAACCCTTAATAAATTCTATACATTTTGATCATTGTAGTTCTACGTGTGACCTGAATTAAGCTGAATGGTATTCCTTTTTTTTCTGCCACTGGCTTTTGGATTTGGGCAGTAGTTCTGCTGTGAAGCAATGTTTTGATAAGAGAGTTCCTGTTACAAGCATTCAAGGTTGAGGGTGCATGGAGTGCAATGCAAATTACTGCTGACTGTTTATTTCACTTCTGCAATTAGTGGGGTAATGTGCCAGGAAATGTACCACTGCAAAAACAACTACATTAGCAAACCTTAAAAAAAAAGATGATCAAATAAATCCCTCAAATCTACTATGTGAGCCAGGATGTTGACTGTGATCTTAGCATTTAAATTCAAAGAGCAGCAAGCACTGACTGTGATTTCTGTCACAGCTAATTTAGGCTTGCTATCACCTTGCTCTGTCTGTAAAATGTCATGACGATAATACAACATTACAGTAAATACTGACACCAACATTACATCACACAGAACATGCAACTTGTAGGATGTTACTGAAAAAAAAAAGAGAAATGGTGATATGAGCTGCAGTTATGGAAGCACAGTATGCTCAATTTGTTTATTTATGAATGCAATTGTTTATCACGAAGTTTGTATACAACACTGCACAGCATTGTCCACAGCTCAGTCTATTGAACTATTTATTTGTATTATTTAATCTTATATTTTTATATAGCTAACATTGCAGCTTCCTTCCACTTATGTTGTATTAAAGCTGACCTTGTGGCCTAGCAGGTGAATAAATGATCAAACTCTGTACACTAGCAAAACTGAACATGAGGATTTGTCAGTAAAAAACTGGTTTTGTCAAAATAAACCCATAAGTCATAGCGGTAGATGTGAAAAACATCTACCGCTGTAATAATACAGTATCATTCTATATTGTACTTTACAGTATAGAGCAGTAGTACAGTACTTTTGTGGTAGAAACTATGCTGCCAGTAACCGGCAATGAATATATGAATAAATGTACAAGGAAATCTGATCTACAGTGCACACATCACCTGAAACTCATAGAGCAGCTTAATAATTTATTTAAAAAAAAAAGAAATACAAGAAGTGTGATAAATTGCAAGAAAATTCCCTGTTGGTAAATCTGGGGCACGTTAAAAATAGTCAAGCCAGCAGTCAGATGCTCATGTAGCTTACTGCAGTAAGAAGCCTACCAATCATCCATGAAAAACTAAGTTAAACAAACTTGCTGTCTCAGGGAACTTTTTGTCATGACTGGCACATCCACTTCCTGGCAAAGAGGCTGAACATGCATTTTTGAGTATGCCTGTTGGCTACAGATCTGACATCCAACAGCACCTTGGGAACTAGAGGCTTGGATATCGACTGTATGGAGTCAGGAAAATGGGAGCAGCTTTCAGAGTAAAACCGCTGTCTGACTTAAATCGGTTTTGTCATGTTGTTGTTGTTTGTACCTTATTTGGCTTGGGTGCTGACAACCATGAGTTTGGGAACTGGGTTTTTCAAGACATAAACAGTAGAGTGGCAATACTAGCATCCAATACTATAATTAGACTTGGAATAGGAACAGAGTGACACTGGTAAATTTAGGGTCACACATAGTTTGGAATTGTGTAAACACCCATTTCATATAATTTCATTATAGTCTTTGTGCCATTTACATGGATTCATCCACATAATACCTTACTGGCAATAAATCAAGAATGTACATTATTTACTTAATTTATGATAAAAAATAATAAAATAATAATAATGGGAAACCTTACTTCTGCATCTCCATTTAAAAGTTCATTAGGAGGCTTAATACCATGTTGGAAGACTTTTGGAAACAAGAGATGCTAAAACCCAACGTTAAAGAGACATTAAAATTAAAACAAATATTTTATTGTGTCTTTTCAGTAAATAACTATAGTCATCTAATTTCTGGGTAGCCTCAGTCTTGCGCCAACAGATCCTTTACTGCACGTGCTGCCTTTGCAACATTTCTGTCCCGGATTGGAGGTTACGTAACAGCTCACACTCTGCTCTTTCTGCCATGCTATGCACCACAGCACGTGTGACTGAAGAGATGCTTGTTGAAATGTTCCCCTCCTATACTATCTCTGATGCCCTTATTAGACACAGCATCACACAAAAGCATTCATGTGATACATGGAACAATAGGAATGCTTTTGTACCTCTTCCTCACAAACACACAGATGTTTTTGTCTGGACACTGAAAATGACATTTCAATTATGTGTTGCACCTTTTTACAAATGTTCCTTGTAGAACTGCAGTTTGTACACAAGGGTCTGTTAATGTGTTATAAATGTGTATGCTCTTCTTGTGGCATTACAGTCTTGACTAATAAAGGAATACAAGAAAAGAACCGTGATTTTTACCTACAACTCTCTACAGGTTTTCCATTCTTAAAGAATTCTTTGCACTACATAATAACTTTTTCGATCTTATGTTGCACTCACAGTTAGGTCCATATCTATTTGCACAATGACAATATTGTGGCCGACACAGAGACGACACTGATGATACTTTCATCGTGATTTCTTTCACGCTCAAATTCAGAGCTCCAATGAACAGATGTTTCATCTGCATAGTCTGATCATTTAGGTATAGGACTCTGAACTGTTGGGATTATGTGTAAATTTGATTATAATTTGTAAACAGTTAATTCAATGCTTTTGATTTATAGGTTAAAATTGTATCTTTTTGATTAAATATCCACTCCAATGGTGCACAGAGGCAACATTACAAAAAACAAAACAAAACTGTGCCACTGCCCAAAAACTTCATTTAAAGCCACAATTCCCACAAGGCAAAGTCCACTTTTTGAATTTGAAATACTCTTTAGAAATAGTGTAAAAAAATAAATAAATAAAGGACAGCCTTGGTGGAAAAAGAAGGGTGTTAAATGGCCTGCGGTTTGGTTATTAAACTGAGTGAATGTTTCAGTTGTCATCCCTGAGAGCCTATTATTGCACACCGATCTGCTTGAGGAGGCTGTGGTTTGCTGAGCAGGACAGGCCCTGTGGAGGTGCCACTGTGGCTAGTTTACAGTGAACATAAAGCTCCCCTCAAAAACAGTTATAGTGCATCTCTCTTGTGGAGGAAAGAGGTTGTAAATCACCAGAATAACTGCAGCGGGTGTGTGCATGTAAGTGCAAGGGAGGCTGTCATAACAACAGTCATAATGAGCATCGGTATATAAACTATGCTGGAGAGAGATAGAGAGATGGAGAGAAATGAAAAAGGAGACAGAGTGAAGCAGGAAGAATGATATTGAATTTATGTGTGCAGAATATGCTGTGCTCCCACACTGTCAAAGAGGGGACAATGCGAAGTGATCATTAAATTTTCACACACAACCCTATGACATGATCCATTATATCTAATAACCAATATCCAATTCAGCAGGATGCTTTACACTCTGCAATAATTGTTTCTTTTTGGAAGGTTAAATATATTATTAGAGTTTTTTGGAACAACTGAAAAAAGAAATTCTATAATCTATAAGACAGTTGGTCAAACTGCTTTTGATTGCTTCTCTATAACATGTTGTTAGTAAGTAAGTCTGTTAAAATACTGTAGAAATTTTATTTTACAGAAATTACAACTCCATATATAGACACTGGAAATATATAGTACTCTTCTGAAAAAGCAGTAAAGTCAATCATGTCATGAGTGCACTCCACTCTATATCCTGCTGTAAGATTGTTTCTATATGCTTATTCTGCTCAGCTTGCCATCAGCATTCATCGCTATAGAGGTACTGTCATTATAAGTCTTAAGTTGCAGCTATCTCAGTGAAATGCAAATGAGAAAGGCGACAATTATTTCCCAGAGCATATTCAAGTAAGTCCTTTAGACTGCTTATAATCTTGAGCTATCTTACTCCTAGCTATGGATGATGACCCTCAATTAGTCGTAATGACCAGGATTTCTTCTAAAATAAAACAAATCTGTGTTTAATCCAAGCACG